AATGAACATGATATGCCCCGTTGCTTGTTTCCCGTGTCTCGCACAACTTGTTTCCCCCCCGGTTTGCTTTCTAAGGATGATAGACTGTTAAGCAGCCCCACGACTTTGCACTGTCTCAGAGTGACATGGATGTTGAATCTGTGTTTGTACTTTGTTTTGTTTTTTTTAAACTACCAGACTGCATGTTCTTTGCATCATCAGATTGTCTATATATTTTTTTTCCTTTCTTTTTTTTGTCTCTGACCATTAAACACACGTTGTTAGGAATTCCTGTCGTGTGGTTTGTTTTGGAGCAAGAAAATCTGAACTAAACGTGTGTCTGTCTGATTAAAGCCACAAATTACACAGCTTTTCTTAACTGCAGCTCACACAACTGTTTGGTCCTCTAGTTTTTGGGTGTTTAAACTTTTTCTCTTGACATGAGTGTGAAGAGAGAGAGAGAAGCCATTTTAGGTCATCATTCAATTTTTTTTAAAGATTTTTTTCTAGTTTTTTTTTTTTTTTTTTTTTTTTTAAAGAAAAAGCTGTAGAAAAATCCATATTTTAAGAAATAAATGTGTCCATTCCATTAACATACTTTCCCCCAAGTAGTCCTCATATAAGTTGGCAGAAATAAAAGTACCCATTTAAAAAAAAAAAGTCTCTTGAACTCAGTTATAATACTTAACAATGACTTCGCAGATATTTGAAGCTTCTAACCTAACTGGACTTTTTATTAGCAATACACAGTTGCTTTTTCCCCCTCGTACATTCAATCAGGTGCTGGAAACATTGGAGATTTTGGTCCACATGGACACGATCACGTCACACAGATACTGAAGATTTGTTGGCTGCACATCCGTGGTGTGAATCCTTTTCATCACATCACCAAGATGCTAGATTGGATTGAAATCTGGTGACTGTGGAAGCTGTTTGAGTGGAGGGAACTTATTGTTATTAGTTTAACGCACCTGTTTGGGATGATTTGAGCTATTTTGACCTGCTGCATTATCCTGCTGGAAGAAGCCATTTATGATGCCACTACTACCTGTAGTGATACGCGGCAGAATGAATCCATGCTTTCATGAAATTTTGGCACCACCATTTGAATGTGTCAGCAATGACCAGACTCATCAGACCAGGCAAAGTTTTTTCCAGTCTTTTATTGAGCAATTCATCTCTGTTAACCATAGAGATGGTTGTATGGGGAAATTCCCAGTTTCTTAAGCATTCAGACCAGCTTCTGGAGTACCAACAACGACGTTGCACTTAACATTGCCTTTTTCCCCAAATGTGATCCTCAGACGTGCATGGATAAATGGACTAAGCTGCTACTAAGCGATTAGCACATTAGACATTAGATAACAAGCAGCCAAACAGGTGTACCTAACACTAGTGCGTATATGCAATATTCAAAAAATCTTCAGGTCTGCTTTTTAACGTTAAGGTACTTTATTGCTGCCCAACAACCCCAGATTTATTTCAGAAGTCTGCACTGCATTATAGCACAGATAAAAATCTGTTTTTCCATTAAGCTGAAGCAGATATTCTGCCTGATTCCAGGTGATCTACTTTACATTAACCATGTTACAGTCCCATCACAGTTGACTTTCACTATAATGACTGAGCTAATGGTGCGTAAACAAATTAAAAGTAAAAAAGCACATAAAATATATCAACAATGAAATTATTTCAAGCATATTTAAAGTTAGTGCCATACAGATTTTCTTTAAATAAGCAAAAAAAACAACAACAAAACAACAAAAAACAAACCCTCTTAACAGTAGGCTGCCACCAGATGGCGCTGTCGCACAAAACATCTCATCTTCCCGGAGGATTTCTAGTCATTCTCAGAGGATAAAGCTTGACATTCTCCGTGCAAAGGATTATTCTGCGTGTTTCGTCTGGTGTGTGTGTTTCCGGCAAGGAAAAAAGAAAAGAAATGCATCATCTGAGGTCCTATTCAGCCTCAAAGTGTCGCTGTACTGTAATCGAGGCAGGCGAACTTGTTTTCATTCCCGGGGAAAAGTGCTCATTATTCCACTCACTGTTTCTCGTGGAGGAGTGCTCGTGTACTTGAAGTGTAAAGCACAGTGGGGAACATCCCGTCCACCTCAGAGATCGTGTCGGCGATGAAAGAGCCATCACTCCTGCCTGTTTTCGAGGTTATGGACCAGCAAGATTATAATTGCTTTATAATTATAATAATAAAGATTCATATTTTATGCCAAACTAGAAAAAACAGGGAGTCTGTTTTGAGCAGAGCATATTTTCTTTACATATAAATTCATTTATATAAAAATATTTTCTATTAAAACAGTCTGAAAGCTTCAACGTCAATTTTAATATAACTTTATCATTCACACGCCTGGTTTCCAACATAAAACACGATACTGGCAAGAGTTAGTCAGCTGTATCAGTCACACCTGTAGGGAAATCATGGACACATTTAATGCAACACCTTCTGTGCACATTGCAGGTGCGGGAAATGTGAACCAGTGGCGATTCTAAGTTTAAACGTTTAGGGGAGCTCAGCTCTCATTCATGATGCCAGCAGTGCCTTGTAAATAAAATTAATGGAATATGCTGTTTGCAAATATAATCAGCCCTTTTTGCATTTGCACAACTCAGTTCAGTTGGATACACATTACAGTGTCACCTTCAAAAGCAATCTAAGCAGTTGGATGACCTATTGTAATGTCTGAGAATAATTCAGAGTGAATAATCAGACCTAATCCACCTGGTTTAACCTATTTTGGGTTTGAGCTTTTTTTTTTTTTTTTTTTAGCTTAGGTTTAGATATCAAACCCGAGGCTAACCCTAGAAGAGCAGGTTGCAAAGCCAAACCCGATTACAGTACAGCACAGTGCTTAGTGAAATCATCGTCAATGAATCTGGGTAAAACAAAAGCTACAGCTTTATAATTTTTGGTGAATTTGACTACATGTCCACACTTCCGGTTTATTTTGCTCTTTCTCTGTCTTTATGCCGTCACCCAAAAGTTAAATGTTACAGTGAATAAAAGATATAAACGGATCCATATCAGTTCATAGCATAATTCAAAGTGAGTAAAGCCTGCAGCTGGACATTGATCTGGAGCTGTACTGTAAACAACCACTGAAGCCCAGTTTGCCCATAAAAGGATTTTTTTTCTGTTTTACAAACTAAAAAAATAAAGTATATGTGAGCAGACTAGAGAATCATAATGATTTATGCTACATTAGCCAAATTTGTTTATGTTATTTTGTCAAATAAAAACATGCAGATGCTTTATAAGTCACAGTGATTTCCACGTGTTATCAGAACAGTTTGTACTTCTGTTATATTCCAGTTAAAGTGTGTTTTAAATCCACATCACTGATTTGTGTCATTACATTACCTCTTCATTAGGGGTGCACTGATAAATGGGTCTAAACTTATTGAAAAAACCTTCAATTATGTTTAATTTTGCTGACATAAAAGCAGTTAAATTAAAAGTTACTAAAGATACTAAAGTCAGCTTATCATTTGTGGGCTGATGGCTACGTCTTGTGGTGGTTTCCTAAAAGAAAATCAAAAGGAAAAGCTCTTTGGGACCATTGCACGTGACAGTATGAAGCAGGGCAATATCAGAGACTTTAAATGAGAAGGACTTTGGTAATAATCAGGGGAAAATATCTCTTCATTTCCAAATGTCCTGCACAGAATGTTTTGAGTGCAGAGTACAAGAAAACTGAAGGAAAGGAAAGTGAGAAAGATTTATTTTCACTTTCTCACAGGATGAAATATAAAGCACATGTATGTGTTAAAAAGATTAATAATAAATTTTGAAATATATTTAAGCTTTTATCCTTGGAAATGTTGTATTTAAATTAAAATATATTTGCTATTCACATCCTAAATACCAAGCCTGCCATCTGCACAGTTTATTGTTTTTTTTATTTATAAGTTACTGTTTATTTGAAAATGTCAGACCACCTCCCAGCATCACTAATGTGTCCCACATTGTTTCTCTCGAACTGTGTCTTTATATGTTTTATAGAGTAATGTATATATAATGCAGTGAAAAGTATTTTCCCTCTTCTTCTTATTTTGCATATTTCCCACTTTTTTCTCATGTTTCAGATAATCTGATTTTTTTATATTAAACAAACCTGAGTAATTGTCTTTAAATAATCATTTTATTTATCAAGAGGAATAAAGTTATCCAAACCTACCTCTCCCTGTTACCTAATAACTATTTGTGCCACCCCGGGCAGCAAGAACTGCAAACAAGCATTTACAACAACTCACGATGAGGATTTTTTAGTCCACACTTTAAGGTCATGCTAAAGCATCTCAATTGCATTTAAGTCCTGACTGCGGTTAAGAAAACTGACAGAGTTTTCTTAATTTGTGGATAATGACTCTCACCATGGTTTGCTAAAGCCCCAAAGCCTTAGGAACGACTTTATAACCATTTCCAGACTGATAAATGCCAGTTTCTCATTTGTTCTGGAGTTTCTTTGGATTTTGGCACGATGTGCTGCTTTTTGAGATCTTTTATTTTGTTTTACTTTGTCAGACAAGGCCAGGTAGTTTTTTTTAACCCCCTTAACAAATGACATAATCATTTGAAAACTGCATTTTTTTTGTTTTCCTGGGTTATCTTTGTCTAATATTAAAACGTGTTTGACGATCTGAAACACGAAAGTCTGACAAATATGCAAAATAAATAATAATAAATAAATTAAATAAATTAACATAAGAAAGTAAAAAGGAGATAAATACTTTTTCCACAGCAGTGAATATTATAGATACTTTGAAGGATGCAATAATATCCTATATTCTTAGTTATTACTGGATCTATTTGTGAATTAGTTTATTCATTTACCGCTTATGTAGAAATAGCAAGGATTGTTGGGTCAAACCTTATTAAAAAAGTCAGTAATGAACTTTCATGAGTAGTTATTAGTTGTTATATAGTTGTCATATTCCTGCCTTGCGCGTTATTTTGTGAATTACATTTCAATACGTCCTCAGCAATGGGGCACATGCGCACTGGCCGGTGGATCCCTCTCTGACCACTACAGACGATCTTCGGAGTTGTGTGTGTGTAGTGTGTGCGCTCCACTCCCGCTGGCTGCTATGACCTAGCTACCGGACGACACTTTCCGTTTTTCCACGCTGACCCTTCCGCCTCAAACTGCAGTCCCCACACTCAACGTTACGGTCGTTTATGGTCGCATTACCGCCACTTTTTCATCGTAGCTGCTGGCCTCCGGGGCTAGCTGGCTAGCAGAGAGGGGGTGACGGAGTGGAGCCAGCTGGTCGGACTGAGAATCGGCAGCGTTAGCAAACAAGCTAATTAGCGAGAAAGACTCAGCCTGGATTATTGCCTTTAATCAAAAGAGAGCATAGGTCTGCGGCTTCACCCACTGCAGCAAAAATGAAGATAACTGTGGATTTCGAGGAGTGTTTGAAGGACTCCCCAAGGTTCAGGTGAGTGATGACAGCCAGGCTTTTTTATTGTCCCGTCCGCTGCTTTTTAATTTATTTATCTCAGGGGTAAAAGTATACGGCTAGCCGCCTGCTAAACCCTCACGCCAATCAGCAGTAAGTAGCTAGCTGTTCGTCGCCTGCTACTTTTCTATTTTTGTCCCTAAGAGAGCTGGGGCCAGTCTGGGAGGCTGCTGCTGGGACGAGGAAACCAAACAGAGACTCGCTGAGAGTCGTGGTGCAGTGGAAAGCTGCTCCAGCGCCTGTTTTTACCCCCAATATAAATTATGTAAACATAGTAAAATACATTAAATATGAACGCAGAGATTAGAGTCTGTCCCAGGATCCTTGACTGGCATGACCCTGCTTAATAGTGTATTTTTTCATGACAGCCAGCTTTGTGTTTACTGTGCGCAGCACTGCATCTGTAATTCACTTTTCTGTTTGATCACACTTATATTTCTAATTAGACCCAATGTCTATTTTCACTGTCCGCTCATTATCTTGCTTTTAAAGTAACCTGACACATTCATGATCGTTTCCATATAAAGACATATTAGTAGCGTAAGCAGTAAGCTTCTTTCCTCCTTCAGTTACGAGCTGATCAGTGAAAAAAAGACAAATCACTGGTGACTTTAAAAATAGTGTTACCGTCCATGTGACGTGTTCTCCGTGTGGTCATTTCTGAAATCACCCCCCCCCCCCCCCCCCCCCCCCCCCCCCCACACACACACACACACACACACACACACACTTCTTCTGAAATTTGTGTAAAAATGGCTCTCACCTCCCTCCTCTAACAGTGGCCTTGAACTGTCCAGTGTTTTGAGACAAAAAGCATCTTCCCCTCTTCCTCCCTCTTCCTCCCTGCACAGCCCCTCGCGCTCCCTTGCTGCTGCTGCAACATCCTCTCTCACAAAAACGAGGAACAGATGTTCGAAAGTTGTTGTTGCAGTTGTTGTTTTTCTGAGACTGAGCATTTCCTTTAGGATTGTATTCATAGGGCTGAACAAAGGGGAAATGTCCCAGTCGGTCGTTGTTGCCTGGTTTAAGGCTGTGTGACCACGATTGCTCCCTTTTACTCACTGTTTTAAATTGGACACATTATTACTATTAAAGCGCTCTAACTGGTGTGCTGCTTAGTGTGTCAGCTCATTGGTATTTGAGGTGTTCGAGGTGCTGCATGCTGCCACAGGCTTTGAAGCCCTCACCTCTTTGCGTCATCACACTTACGTTTGCTTTCATTGATTGTGGATAACAGAGCGCTGAGTCACTGCATACAGTTTGAAGTTTTCTATGTCAGCGAGGCAGTTTTTCAAACAAAGAAAGGAAACTGTTCAGTGGGAGTGCAGAGGCTTTGTTTGCGATGTATATCCAGCAGAATCTGAAATACTGAAAGTCACTCATTTGTATACAAGACTTGCCTGACTTTTTTTAATTTATGTTAGTAAATAAGAACAGTCATCATCATGAGCCAGGTCCGAGCATCTTTTAAGGTAATTCATTGCAAGGCTGCAGCAGTATAAAAAGGCTTGGCACTTATTTTTCTTAATTAGAGCTTTGCTTTTCCCGGCACTGAGGCGGTGTGTGATTGACCTTTCTCTGACCTGTAACTTTGCTGCGGCACCTGTTACAGCACCTAAATGACACCATTACCTTGTCCTTGCTTTATTCCAAAAACAAATGCACAAAAGATGTGGAAAGTGGTAATCTGTTGATCAGTTAGATGATGTTTGATGAATATATACTCGTTTGGGGTCACCTTGGGCTTTAAAAAGGTGCTCTTTTTCTGACTTCTGGAGACCAAAGAATCTGTTGATTAATCCTGTAAAACATTAACCTAAAGTCAAAATTAATCATTAGACTTTACAGTAGTTCTCGTTCTGTCTGTTTAAATGTAAATAACTCTGCTTCTCTGCCTGTCCCTATCAAAAGTATAAAAGTTATCACTTTTATTGAGGGAATTCTTGGAGGGGTTTGGATGCAGCAGGCAAAGTACTTGGCCTAGTTTGTGACAAATAAACAACAAGCAGTGAGTTTCTCCTCCAGGACTTCTGAACTTGCCATCGGTTGCACTGAACTTGCCGGTGCCACCGATGTCGGTGCTGTTTGACCAGAGTACATGTAATCTTGCACCACTGAAGGACATCATGGATAGAACCTGTAGGAACGTAACTTAGTGCTTAACTCAATGATTTCACTATAGTACTTTTTCTCGTAGTAGTTTTCTAGCAGGTTTTTTTTCTCCAGTTATTTCTATGTTATGCTGCTTGGTGCTTCTACTGTTCTACATTTTGGATGCCAGCTTTATAATCCACACTAAAACCAAAGCATTGCATTACTATGGATCAAACTATGAAATATAATAAGTCAACAGCTGCAACATTAAAGTCATAATGATTTGGACAAGTGCCATTCTAAATGGTAAACACATTTAGTTTGGGTCAACACCTGGATTTTACTTAGCAAAGTGTAAGAGCTTTACATTGGTCTAGGATACTGTTACTTTTGGTCTAGGTGTGGGATCAGCATCATCATGTACCACCCAAAAATTGAGGTCAGTTGAATAGCTGAATATATTGAGTGACCAGTTTTTTTCTTCCCTGGTGGAAATGGTACATTGACACACTCAGGCATTTGACATAAGCACACCAAATGCTGAAGGTGATCCAATGAAATATTAGAGATTGTGGGGGGTTGTTTTTGGTCAGGGCAGTGTGTTTTGATATTACAGCCTGTGCACTGTTAAGCTGCTTAAGCAGGATTCTAACTTTTACTTAAGTAAAAAGCCAGCATACTTTTTTTCCACTTTGCAAAACAAACAAACAAACAAACAAACAAACAAACAAACAAACAGTTATCAAATATAAAGTTATGTTTAAACTTTCGTGCAGCACCACTTTCAGTTGGACAATTTCTATCCCAATTTTTTTACACTGATTGTATTTCTCATCAAATATTCTGATTTCCTTTCGGCACCTCTATTTTGTTCTTAGCCCGCTCTGTCCCACCCTGGTTTATAAACTTATGGAAACGCCCATGCATCCAGCTGACAGTGGATCTCCAGAGCTGAGCTGCAGCTCAGACTGGCGGGGCTGGAGGCTGTGGGATGAGAGACTTGCAGTAGAAAAAGCTGAATCATATTGAGGGCCGCCACGGCAACCTGGCCCGTGAGTCAGCTGGTAACATGAGACAGGAATGGTCGGTGTTAGTTGGCTAGCAGCAACTGAACTTTCAGAATGAGAGCAAGAGGACTGTTTTTAAATGTGTCACCAAATGTATGTGATGAGGTAAAATCTATGAGTAGGAAACACCACTGTATGGGCAGATGTGATACAACACATAGAACTCGACAAATGTTGTCGTTACTTTTTGTCTAAAATCTCCAGTTTGTGTTTTATTCTGTTAATCTAATTCACATCCACTTCCCATGATTGTCTGAGCAAGGTAACAATATAGCCCTGTCTCTGTTTGTGCTTTTTTGTGACCTTTGCCCCCCTTTTGGATGAGTCATCAGTTAGCATTTCCTGACTTAAACACTGCTGTAGGTTCATCATTGCTCCATAGTTATTAGAGATTACTGCACCATAGTTTTCCACTTCGACCACCGCAGCTCTGCTGCCGTTTATCCAACCCCCCTCTCGTTGTGTTTGGCCAGGGAAGACGACGACGACGCAGGAGACACAGAGTATGGATAAAAACATGTAATACGCACCAGCGTGAATTAGCTCTCACTTGCTCAACATCTGTTTCCAGTTTGGTGTTTGCTTTCAACTTGGTGCTGGAGAATATGGAGCCCCCAAATGTAGAGAGGGTTGTTTTTAAGTGGTATTTTGGCACACCCCACTTACTTTTTTTTTGTTTGTTTTTTTTTCATCCTCATTTTTGTTGGAGAAACTGTCTTTGGTTGTAAACCATGTGTTCGGGCTGCATGAGAGGTTCACTAGTGCAAAAAAGTTATGTACTTTTGGCAGTAAACCCTAGTAGCCTAGTTTTCCACTTGAGAATAGATGTTGGACTCGAGAGCTTCCTGGCTCCTCTTCAAGTATGATAGTTAAAAATTCCCTCCAGAGTGCAGCAGCTTTTCTCTCCACAAGTATAGGAACAGATGTTTTACATATTTTATATGCTGTTCCACTCTGCAATGTCCCCAACAAAAGCAATTATCTGTAGTGTCTTTTTATATGAAATAAGCAATGTGGGGGTAGCTTAAGGACCTCGAAAGTTATGGATACTATAGGCTCCATTTATTAAACTGATCATAACATCTGTAAAACTGAAATGTTTCCAGTTTTTTTACATAGGACACACAAGAAATTATCCCATCAAGAAAATTATAGTATGATGGAAATGTTTTCAGACTAGTTGTCGGTGAGGTAATTTCTGTAAGTGGCAGAAAAGTTCTCCTTGTTGTTGCGTCCCTTTTAATCATTATTACGCGAGTACGTGCTTCTGATTGGGTGTGTGACCATGCAGTGCGATACATCCTGATTAGCTTCCCATGGGAGTCCACCTGTGGGCTTGTTATCATGCTGGGCTATTTGCAGTTTGATTTAATTAAGCTCTGGTCCATTTCCTTTTAATGGTTATTAAGCCAATTAAAATGAATGAAATGTGAGGACTGAGGCTGCTCTTTATATCACATAAATATCCGTGTAAATACTTTAACTTTCAAGTATACAATTATTTTATCAGAGAGGATGAAGCAGAGAGAAGCTATTGTTAATTTATCTCTCTAAAAATGCTTTTTCAAAACCTCAGATTTTGTGGATTTTACACATTGCCTTCGGTATATAATTATTAACTCTGGATTTTTTTATGAGGCAGGCTTTTCACTGTCTATAAGTGATTGATCTGTTAAATGAGAGAATATTCTGTAAGTCCTTAAGAAAATACTTTTGTTATAATTATTATTTATAGCTCTCCAAATACAGTGGAACAGCATATAACGATATCATCAACAATCATTGTTCAACAGAACAATGATTGTTGATGATATCGTT